AATAAAAGGTCTTTTACGTCATCGCGAAGGCCGCTTCTGAATTGGTCAATGAAAGCTGCTTCTCCCCAATCCAAGTCACTAGAGATTTGCCAGAATTCCGATGCGTAGCTTGATGCGGACCTGGAGCCTTGAGTAAGTTTCTTGATTTTGGTAGCAGCAGTTCTTTCCTTATCTGAGTCTCCGAACATGGTCTCAAACTCCTGGATTACTTGATCAAAACTTTTAAGCAAGGGTAACTGTTTTTCTAATAATAGGGCAAACCAGACAAGGGCTGTGTCCGAAAGTAAGCTTCCCAAGAGTCTCACCTTTGTTCGATCGTCTGGGTAACAGTTTGGTTGCATACGAATAACAAGGCGTACTTGGTTCAGAAACCCTCTAAGCTTCATTCGGTTTCCGTCAAACTTGTCTGATAAGCTGACTTTGGGTTCCTTTTGGTCAACGACCCCTCCTTGTGCCTGAAGCTGTTTTATTTCTTGTCGTAAGGCCTGATTTTCTTGTTGTAGCCAGTAAAAAGCAAGTAGTATGTCATTAAGTTCTGGCTGTTGTTGCTGATCTATCGTTACTTTCATTTTTTGGGTAATGTATTTTATTAGACAAGGCATTATTTTTATTATGATTATTATTATTTTTTTTTTTTTTTTTTTTTTTTTTTAAAAATAATAATACAGAGGTTTAAAGTTTGTACGTATAGATGTTAGTTTTTTAGTCTGTTCAAACTGTCACATATTAACAAGCTATTAGAGTAATTTAAGGCAAGAACGGGTTTTATTGTGTTGAACAGACTAAGCAGTACATAAAGGTTTGTATCTCTCTTTTATACAGAATTTCCTTGATGACTATTACTAGCACGATTACTAATACTAATTACTTTTGACTATTTTAATGACTACATAATTCATGTGCTTGAACTTACTACTACCTTATGATACTTTGTCGCTTTAATTTAATTAATATATGACTATATTCTTTATACGCTAACTTGTAATACGGTGTTGATTACTAACTAATTAATAAATGATTACATTCTTTATGCATCAGGGAAGGGTACTTGAATATCGCGGTCTTGGGAGTCACGGGCCTAAGGGTCACGGGCTTGAGGGTCACAGGCTTAGATCATGACTAGAGCTTCGGGTTTGGGTTAGAGTTTGGTTTGGGTCACGGGCTTGGTTGGGGTCACGGGCTTGGTTGTTACAGATATACCCTATAAAAAATTTTTATCCAAATATTTTTGTGGTTTCTATAAAAATTCTATAAAAATGATACATTTACGGATATCTGTGTTAGAGAGATGAAAATTTTATGATCTAAGGTTATAAATTCTATGAAAATAAAAATATTTATAAACATGGATCAACATTTTTTATAGGAATAAATATAAATCATTCTATTGATATTCTCATTTTTGGTTAATTTTATCAATTGAGATTTGTATTATTTCGGAAAGGTTTCATTAATATATACAATTTTTTAAATTTTAAACTGAATAATGGTTATTATAGTTACAAGTAGGGTATGGAATGGGCCGGGTCAGGTCAGGTTTAAATAAACCCAACCCAGGCCTATTTAAACCTGACCTGAGCCTGAAACTGATAAAAATTTTATAACAGGTCAGGTTTAGATCAGGTTAGTTTAATTTAAAATCTAATCTAACCCGAGCATTTTTAGATATTTATAATTAACCAATGATAATTCATATAGTTACTTTAATTTCATGCTTGCTTACTCCAAACTCATTTACATTCAATAGACTCTCATATACTTTAAAAAACTGATCTGCTTCAATACTATTTTTTAAATCTGGATTACATCACTAAACTTGTTTCATCTCATACATCCAATTTGTTTTCATATCTTATTTACAAACTTCAAAAAATTTTGAATAGGATATCTTGCTAATTTATTATGTATTAATAGTTTAATACAGAAAAGTAGCACTAAGTGCACCTTCTAAACTCTTATAAATATATATTTAGAGGGGTTAAGTATACATTCTTATCAGAGTTTCATGCATCTAGAGAAGGTATACTTCAGGTGGTTTCTCTATATTTATGAAATTGAATGGCTTAACAATATACTAACTCCAGAAATATTTATTATCTTTAATGAAATCAAATTATTATACTAGGATTCAAAGAACTAATAAAATGAGTCTGCTAACACCTTTTCTTTTGATCTGAGTTTATTATTAAAATCATATGATATGTAGTTTTTCTATCTGGTTCTTTTTTAAAACCTTTAATTTCGGTACCATGCCAATTCTTTAATATTTAATCAAATTCTTCTTTTTTTGAGTGAATATGATAGCCTAAAGCAGCTGACAGCATGAGAAGCAGCAACATTATATTATTTTAAATTACATAGTTTGTGTTTAAAAATTAGAATTTCTACTTGATTTGAAATAATAGTCAAAACTAAATATATGTCCTATTTTTGTTTAGGCTGTTTGAATTTGAAAATTTGTTTAATGTTCCCTCCCTACTACTGGAGCTCTCCTTGACATTAAACAAGCCAATAGAAAATGAGTATAAAAAAATATATATATTACAAAAAAAAACACCCTAAGTATAAATGAACCCAAATCAGATATATTTTGAACCTAAGTTTAGGTCTGTTTAATTTTAGTGTTTGTTTAACTCTCCTTCTCTCTCAAGCAAATATGAAAAAAAGGAACATTAAACAAATCTTTAAATTCAAACAGCCTTAATAGTGTTGAACTCAAGAACCTGCCAAATTTATTAACTCAATGAATTATATTTTAGCAAAGTTTTGTTAGTTTGATCTTTGGCAATAACTCTTGGTTATTTTTTCTATTTTACTGATTGCTTGTCTAATAATATATGTAGCAACTTCACTTTGAAATAAAGTATATAGTTTGTGAAATTATTTTGTATAGTGAAAGACAACGCTTTTCTAAACATAATAATAAAGAAAAAATTTATTTTTTTATAAGTAAAATGGTGAAAGTTGCAATTTGAAAAAGTACTTTAACCTGTATAAATTAGTTACTGAATAATTGATTTAAAAAGTAAAATCTTGAAACTAATTACACAAAATCAATATAGGTTTATTTGGCTTTGGCAGATCAATAAATAAGGCACGAACCTGACCTGATACTTTATTAGGTCTGACCCAAGCCTGATCCGATTTATAGCAGGCCTAAAATTTTGGCCTGACCCAGGCCTGACCCAATCTGACCAGCAAAAATTTGGGTTAAACCTAACCTGTCCCATACCCTAGTTACAAGTTATGTTTGTACCTAATAAATTACTGATAGGTTTAAACTCAACATAGTTTTATAATGCTTCATAATTTAACTGACTCGAAAATTAATTAAAGAACTTGAAATCATCTAAACAAGCAAATGCTTTTTCAAGAAAGCCTTAGAAATTAAAAACTTTGGCTACATAAAAATTATTTAGATTAATAAACTGGCTATCTGATCAAAATTTTGAATACCGTGTAGTGATAATACCCAGGTTATCTGCAGATAATCAAATATCCAGGTTGTAAACTCAAATACCCGAATAAATATACCCAGGTATATATATTCAGATAATATCTAAGTAACAAAAGTTTAAATATTCATATAGATTATCCAAGCTAATTAAGTATAAATAAATTAATAATAGAATAAAATTTAACTTTAATATACATACTTGATTCTTGTGATATGTTTTAATCTTAATGTATTTTGGTTTAGTTTTGCTCATTTCACCAAAAGTTCACAGTCAACATCTAGGGTTTAAAATAAGCCAGCCTAAAAAGGCCCATGGACTTTTTTTAAAAATTAATTTTGGCCAGTTTTTATAATACTAGTCATATAATAATTTTTATATAGCTAGTATTATGAAAAATAGCCAGAATTAATTTTTAAAAAAAGCTTGTGGGGCCAGCCTATTTTAAACTCTACCAACATCCTATAGAGTTATAGTTGGTGGTAGAATTAATTTGGCAAATTAATACGGCAATGGCATGTAGAGTTGTGTTACGAAAATTACAATTTTACATTTCATGTAATTTTATGTAAGTTTCAGTAACTTGAATTTCATGTAAATTTCACACGTAATAACATATGCCAGCACTATGAAAACTTTAGCCAAAATTATTAAATACACAAATATGTTTATTATAATATTTATTATATTTATAACAATGCAAGTTTATACAATAAAATGAATTTTATTCTTTAAAATGATCATTGAATTCATGCTTATTACTATCAAATATATGAAACAGCCTATTTGAAAAGTCAATAAAGTTGTTTCAAGTATTTTATTTTCACTATCATCATGATTTTTGCTTTTTTCTTGATTAATATTTGTATTAGATGTTTCTTCAATTTCTATACTCCTCTGTTGCAAATCCTTTATTAAAATAGATCTTTTTAATTAATAAAGAATACTTGTATTCTAATATATATAAACAAGTTTTTCAACCTTTTGAGTAAGCATTCAGTTATGCAATTTTGAATGTATAAACCCGTAAGTTGACTAATTTCTCTCACTAGCTGCTGAAGTAGCTGGAATTGACAAGATTTTTCATACAACTTGGCTTAAAATAGGATACTGTACACTTAATAAATTCTACCAATTAAGCAGTTTTAAGGTAAGATCATTCCACAAATATTTTTTTGCAAAACCTCCTGATTTCCTGATATATTTAGACAATTTATTCAATACTTGATCTTTGTTATCAGCACCTGCAATTAGTAATCTAAATTATTAGTTAAAAAACTAACTAGTTGACTATGTAATTGATTTAAAATTTTTTTAACCAAATAATGCTAATGCTAATTGATCAAAAATTTATTATAAAATATAAAAAAAAAAAACTAGATTTGAAAAATTTTGACCAATTCAGAACACTACCTGCAACTTGGAGTATTTCAGCATTAACTATATTTCCCCAGGTAATAAAATCAAGACCCTCACCCAATATCTTAGATCAAAAATGTATGCAACAATAACTACTAGATTATATAAAAAATTGATCTATCTATGTTAGGCCACTTGTAAAGTATCATCACGCAGTTCTTCAGAAATTTCTAAATTATTTGTAACTGTATTTTTTAAGTTTTGTAAAGTTTTATAAGCTGAAGAAAGATACAGTTTGTCATTTTCTAATTTATATATAAAAATAATAAATGGTTTTAGAAAATCGTGTAATTTTTTTAGATCCATCCAAAATTTATAATCCAAAATTGTTGCTTTAATGTTATTATTTATTTCAATACCATCCTTAGATAATACAGCATATATTGCAGACCAAGCTCACAAAACATGATCAAGATATTCAAAAAACAATGTCCACCTTGTATCAATAGTTAAAGTAAATGTGATTTCAAGATTATATATTTCTTTTTGCAAACGATGAAGAATAGCTAATGGAATTAAATGATTATGAAAAAATAAAACTAGATCTTTGGTTTTTTTTAAAATTTGCGCGGATGTTCTATAGAATAGGTGGGCAAACTTCGCCAACTCCGCAACTCCGATATTAAAAAATTAATGATTATTAATCATTAGCGAAGCTTATTTCTTATATTGCCCACCTATTCTATAGAACATCCATTTGCGCAGCCCATTTATTTTTAAAAATATCTTTAACCCAAAGATTAATTCTGTGTGCCCAGCATCCAAGAAAAACTTTATCAGGATATTTAACTCTTAAAATATTCCATGCGGCTTTCATATTGTTGGCGTTGTCCATAATAACACTAACAAATTTATTAATTCCAATTTCTTCCATTACATCTTCAATTTCTTTAGCAATATTTTCAGCCATATGATGTTCCTCATTAGTATGGACCGATTTGTAAAAAATAGGAGCAGGTGTAATAATCATGTAGTTAATTACAGACGATTTATTAACATTTGACCAACTGTCACTAACTAAGCAATGATATGGTGATTCATCAAGAACATTTTGAACAACTATTTGTAGATCAGCATATTCCTTATTAAGAAGCGAATTGGAAAGAGTATTATGTGATGAAACCTTAAAAGAAGGACAAGCCCTTTTAAGAAAAATACGAAAATCTTCATTTTCAATTACATTAAATGGAATCCAAGATATAAAAAAAGCACGGGCAAGTAATGATTCCAATTCAGTTTGATCTGGTTGAGCAAAATTATCCAAGGCTGGTTGTTTT